ATATATAGAACATATACTATGTAAATATATATGTCTGAACAAGCTCTCTAGGTGCAATGTTATTATCCATAGGACATACTTGGGAGGTTTGTTCTTGCTCTCAATGGGACACCAAGCAACTACTTGACAAGTTTTGCGTGTCGTATCATATTTCACACAGGATCCTGTCTGGACACCTGTAAACAGCAATCACACATTAAAAAAATCAATAAAAATAAGGTATGAAGAATAACAGTAAGCTGCATGTACAAATTAATTCATACAAATTATTTTAATTTTCTGGAATGTGTTATTATAAAATAATTTACTATTATAATACATAATACTATATATTTAATATTAACGTATTTCTAGAAGTGATTTGAGGTTTCAAAGATAGAACAGTCTAGTACTGTACATTAATTTACTTTTGTCTTAATTCATAATCAGGGAAAACAACGAGATAATGATAGATGAGCTTAGCACGACATCATTAAACATCATACATTCCGCATTGCTGTGGTGACGACTCAAGCAGACCTCTGTATCTGAGAAAACATTTCTTATGCTTCACATCAGAATGCAGAAAAGAAAGTCTATCATACACTACCATGGCTATGTTGGTCTGAATATCCCTTTGTACAATCTTGGTCTCGGTAGCATATTTTTCCAGAACCTGGCACCTGGGAAAAATTCAAAAAAAGGCATGTCCTATCTATACCATCACTCTGCGTTGATTTCTTACTGATCAGTAATACCTGGGAATTTAATTTGCAACATTAAAGTGTTACTCACATTCCAGCACTTTGTTAATTTAACATATTCAGGTTCTGCAAACCACAGGCAACGAATACTTCAGTTAATCATGGAAATCAAAAGACAAACAGTACATGAATATATGTGATATTTGAAGACAGCGATTTCTTCCTTCTTAAAAAGGAACTGTTACCTCTGCACACTTCCCTTGTCGCTGCTTATTTGTAACAATGGCGTTGGTCATCACAAAAAAGGAGTTCTTCCCCTGAAAATACAGGATGAGTTATTTGCAGCAGGGGATGATTATCAAAATATCACTCTCGTATAGCAGATCTTATTGTTTGTACCTGTGTTTTCAGCCTTACGTTTCAATGAAGCACCGGTCTGCTCATGCAGGAGAACTTGGTTACCTGTGATAGCCCACTGTAATCTGCAGCATCCCATAATATCTCCCCGACATCGGTTATGTTGGTCACTGCCACTCCTTTCACTTTTGCGGTCACAGAACTGACGACCTGATCATATTCCTGGTACTCTTTATTCCAGAAGAGCATTATACTGGAGGGGTGAAAAATAAAGAAACATTACTGCTCGTCACCAACCCAAACCCACAATGTTTTGTTTTGAACAAGTGCTGGCCTTTAATTTCCGTGCTTTTGTCCATGCAGGGATTAAAAACCTCACACAGCACATGTGAGCCGGTACAGTTCCTGCTGTAGACGGTTAATACCCGTGCCTAACTAAAAACCCCCCGTCTCCATCAAATATTCATCTCCTGAGCCTCCGTGCCCCTGAAGACTGGGCACTGAATTCAGGAAAAAGAGGGAATTAATTGTTTTAGTTTACAGCAGGATATCTGTATTCATTTTATATTCCAGTTGAAGAACAACCAACGTGTTTGTGGAAAACGGTCTGATTTGTAAAACACACGAAAAACTACTCACGTTTTTATTTTAACCTCGGCTTCAAATTCGTATCTACAACTAGAACCTAATTGCGAAAATGCCTCAACACGGTTTATACAGTACATATAGTGTAGGTTATAGCGCTTTAAACTCCCTAATAATAAGAAAGCACCCAATAATTCAAAACTTTATACACTATTCAGTTTATAGGATGAACGCTGTAAAAGAACAGTTTTACTCGAGCACGTAGGAGCGTTAGTCTCTTGCGCACACTGGAGAGGAGCGAAAAACATACTGTGCTTACCAGATAAATCCTAGGATCAAGCCGTTAATACTCCATTTAAGAGATCCAATTGGAATGCTTTTTATTCTGACCAGTTTATTGGTCTCGTATTCGCAGAAGTTAAGCAGGGAGCAAGGCATGGTAATGCTCTTGACTCGCCTGAAAGCAGCTCTGCCAAGCCCTCTCACTGCGCTGAACCTGTCCCAAGTCACATGACTGAAGGAGGCGCAGAAGTGTCTCTTCTGTACCAGTCGGTCCGCTGTTCATTGTTGGGACTGTGAGTGTAGTCTGGCGTCATCCAGTGTAACCAGTAACGCTATGCAAATTTGGTTTTTAATTCACACAGCATATGAATGTATGTTTAATGGTTTTAAAGTCTGGATTCTGAAAGGAAACCACAAAGCCGACAAAAAATCAATTTAAAATTTCACCTTTGGGATCAGTTAGATGTAATACATTGTGTTTTTCATTTGTTTTCCGCAACAAGTGATTACATTCGCAACAAAACAGACTCGCACTAGAGTCCCTCAATATGTTATCTCATTTGGCCCACACGAACCCGGGACAGAACATTTGACCTGTTTTGATACTGGTGCACATTTTTGTCCACTGTTGGTTTGGTTTTTAAAGACTGGACATTTGCTTTACCGTTGCGACGCTGTAGACTCCACAGCGGACGGGACTGAGTGGAAAAGATGCGTTCACACTGTGTTCGCTGCAGACAGGCAGGATAGCTGGGCTCGGATCCCTGCCCACGCTGTGCCACACAACGGGCTCTTTCACCAAGAGGCATATTTAGAATTGTCTGATTTCTGCGTCACAGAAAAGAAATGTCAATGGTAATTAAAAATGCCCATTCCACAGCGCTGCGCTTTATTCCAATTTTAGTCCAAAATGCTGTAGCTTTTTGGGATCTTTACGCACATGCAGAATGCCCTGGTTCACTGGGAACATTTAAAAAAAATGTTGTAGCAGAATAATTCCCTAAAGAAGCCATAAGGATAGATTTTATCGGATTTAATTTAAGTAACCATACAGTTTTGGTTGGATGTGTAGTAGTTCAGGTGGGTAGCTGCGTCAGCATGCGTAGGCTGCAAAGGAACAAGTAATAGGTTTATTCCATGCTGAAAAAAAGAAGAAAGAGAACACAACGTT